GTTTTTGAACAGTAAGATTTTTAATGTTGTTGTATTTTTTATTTTTTTTTATAATTCTCTTCTGCTCAACAAGGCTGCATTTATTTGATCCAAAGTACAGCAAAAACAGTAAAATTTTGAAATATTTTTACTATTTAAAATTGCTTTCTATTTTGAATAGATTTTAAAATGTAATTTATTTCTGTGATCATACATAGCTAAATTTTCAGCATCATTACTCCAGACTTCAGTGTCACATGATCCTTCAGAAATCATTCTAATATGCTGATTTGCTGATTATCAATATTTAAAACAGTTGAGTACATTTTTTTTTTCAGGATTCTTTGATGAATAGAAAGATCCAAATATCAGCATTTATCTGAAATAAAAAGCTTTTGTAACATTATACACTATTCCATTCAGTATAATTTTGATACATTTTTTGGGAAAGAAATTATAGAAATTAATAATTTTATTTAGCAAGGATGCTTAAAATTGATCAAAAGTGATGATAAAGGCATTTATAATGTTACATAATGTTACAAAAGATTTCTATTTCAGATAAATAGTGTTCATATCGATATCGGAATTATATCGTATCGACCGAAATTAAGAAATATATCGTGATATAAATTTTGGCCATATCGTCCAGCCCTAGGTTACACCAGAGATTATTAAACACAACCAGCAGCCAATTATATCATCATGTTTATGCTGATCCCAGCACATTTGATCATCATAATTTCAAAGAAGCCTTGGAAGAGAGTCATCTGGTGATGAACTTCCTGTTTACTGTGATTCTTCTGTCTGTCTCTGATCTTCAGGCTGGACTCAAAGAAACTAACGGAGAGATAAAGGTGATTGTCAACCAGAATCTGAGTCCAGGGAAATGTGAGTACACACTAACCATCAGTCATCAGTTCAGTGCATGATGGGTAATGACACCTGCGTCTCATATAATGTATGATTTCAGAGGTTCACTACAGTAACTAGTACCACAGTCCTCTTCACAGTAATGCACTGACGGAGTAAACATTCAAATACACATGGATTCAAGTTGAATTAAAATAATTAATTTGCAAACCACAAGGGCTTGCTTATCCAAAGCGACTTACATTGCATTCAAAGTAGGCCTGGGCGATAAAACTGTATCGGTATTTATCGGCGGTACACCATAATCGATAATGATAGAAAAAATGTTCGATGTAGCGCACGATAGTTTCACGCTTTTTTTTTTCATTTAAAGGCGCGTTCAGGGATTAAAGTTTTCCGTCGCTACGACGGATTTCTGTTAATTGGAAAAAATAAAGGGAAAAGAAACATGTAGCGCATTTTTGTTGTTGTTGTTCTGGTATATTAGATCCGTGCATGAGGTCTTAAAGAGACAGCAGCCTAAATAAACCTGCTTCTGTCTTTCATTATACAGTGAAGACTATCTAGTGTTGTTTTACAGTTGAATAGATTATAGTTAGACCTAACTTGTCATTCATTTATTTGTTCTTATTTTATTATTTACTATTTACTTGTCTTTTTTAGTTCAAATAAATTCAATTCTGAGTGCACGTGATTCTTGGGTGGGGAGGAGGCGTGGTCCATGAGAAATAGTCCTGCCACCACAGCTGGAAAAAATCCTAGAGGAAACACTGCATACAATTAATAATAAAAAAAAAAAAAACATTTACAAAAGGTAAAAAGAAAATGCCCCTGTAAATCACTTTGTCAAATGTCACCTCGTATTAAGAAGACTAATTTTTGATCAGAATTTTTGATTATTGATCAGAAGGTGCTTGCAGCTTCTCACTGACAACATAGTGACGCCGCTCGCATCATTCACAGTCGGGTTATTAGCAGAGAACACAGAGCAAAACTTGAATTTCGGCGCGGGGTTGCGGCTATTAATAATAATTCTACTCATTCCCGCAGGATCCGCGCTTATAACGCGATGACAGATGATGGAACGTATCATTTGCACGTGCTTTTGAGTCTTGAGAACTCTCATTTTCTGTGCG